TGGTGAGGTGATGGTGGGGGGGGGGGGAATGCAGGGCACCAGCAATACTGGGAGGGGTTGTGGGGGGCCTTTAATTTTTATCACCGCTGTAGCAGAAAGCCCCCCTTTTCCTCTTGCCTGCAGTTGTTCTCCCCTCCTTGGATATGTTTTTCCTCTTCTACCTTTTCTTCCTACCTCTTTCTTTCACTTCAAGATAAGGAATTGTGTTTTAAAATTTGTACGCGTGCATTTTGTATCTCCCTTTGTATTTTGGTATTTTTATCTATTTGTGTGCCATGGCATTACTTTTGTAGCTTATATTTTACACTCCTCACCTTTCAACTTTGAACTAAATGTGTTTAGTTTCAGAAGTAAGTTATACATTGTAACAATGTTAACAAGGCAGGAGTCAAACTGCCGCTTCCCTGTATCAGGCAGGCTCCTGAAAGAGCGAGTGAATCAGTGACTGAATGCGTAACACAGTAGCAAGCAGCCATTAACACCTAGGAAAACCTCAGATCAACCAGCGGAACAAATCAATAGAAGAAAATGTAGCAACCAGGAAATCTCTAAACGTCACTGTTCAAGGGCTAGAAACCCTGGTCTGAGTTAATCAACGACGGGGACCAACTTTTGGGCTGAATATCTCCAGATCAACTGCTCCCAGAGCCCTATTCAAAATTCATCAATGGACTCCCAAACCTGCGCGTACATGCAGATGACCCTTGCGGCTGACAGATGCCATCCAGTAGCCACTGAGGGGGAAGTCCCACGAGGGTCAACGACCCCTAAATTGGGCAAACCTGAAAACCGGGGAGTCACCAAAGTCTGCCAAGGATAGATAAAAATGCAGTGAAAAGTGACCCTCAGCGGTGCTCTCTTGATCTCCAACTTGACCAGCACCCGACTTGTCCAGCCAGAAGGACCAGCTGGGGATCCCCTTCTGGAGGATAACACCACACTGGAAGAAGCCTCGACTGGCCATCAACGGCAGACTCCAGCGCCTGTGGGATAGGTATACCTGACTCTTGTAGCTTGCTACTGTGTGTGGGTGTGGGTGGGGACCAGCCCCAAGGTTTATGATTTAACTTCATTATAGTGCTTCAATCCACCTAATAAACCAGAATTTTAAGGATCCCGAGTTGGACATTTGTAGCCAACATTATTTGGTGGAGAATGCAGGCAGTATTCTAGGATTATTAGTGGATTGGTAATTGGGGAGACCGTGTCTCCAGATAGAACCCACGTCCACGGAGGTGGGTGGGCAATAGTCACCCAAGGGGGTGGACTAGGATTTAGACTCACCTAACGGGGTGGGCAGACTCAAGGAGGGTTTGGATTTAGTTGTCACCTAAGGGGGTGGGCATATCCCAAGGAAGGGATTTGGTTGTAGAACTGCAGGGGCAGGGGCAGAGTCAGCTGGGAGCGCAAGGGCTCAAGGAAACTGACAGGCTTGAGGCATGTTGAGGAAAATGTCTTTGTTTAGAAAAAAACCCCCTAAGGTTGGAGTA